AACTTTCTCAGGATGTTTCTTATCGATGTAACCCTCAGGTTGCTCCATGAAAATTCTTTCCTCCAAGTACCCGTGCAAGAATGCCGTTTTAACATCCATTTGCTGAAGCTCCATGTCAAAATGAACAACCGCAGAGAGAAGAAGCCTGATAGACACGTGTTTAACTACCGGAGAGAAAATCTCCTGGTAATCAACGCCCTCCTTCTGAGAGTATCCTTTGGCCACTAATCTCGCTTTAAACCTCGGACCTTCAACGCCTGTGATGCCAGCTTTCCTTTTAAACACCCACTTGCATCCTATCGGTTTCTGACTCTTGTCTCTGTCTACTAAAACCCAAGTCCTGTTCTTCATTAAAGAAGTCATCTCCTCATCGGCTGCCTCAAGCCACAGTTTGCTGTCTGGGTCATATTTAGCTTCTTGAAAGCTGCCTGGTTCTGGTTTGCCTCCATCCTCAATCATCAAGTACGCAAAACCCGCTATGTCCTCATCGTCTTCGTACACCTGATAATCTTCCAACCTCGGAGGAGGCTTAGTGGTTCTTCTTGGCCTATCTCGAGCCAGTTGATAATCACTTAGATCCACACTTACTTCATTGACCCCACTATCTGACACTGTTAGCTTTTCTTGAGCCTCTTGCGTATCAACTCCACCTTGAGCTGTAGTCCCTGAATCAACCTGTTCTCCTGAAACACCATCAAAACTCACAAACCTGTTAGTATTTGAAATATCAGAATGAACATTACCTGACCAAAGTTCCCCTTTGATGTCTTTGTACATCACGTCTTCTCTAAAGACAACGTTCCAACTGATGATACACTTCTGATCTTCAAGTAACCAGACACGAAACCCTTTTACTCCCTCTGGATACCCCGTGAAGACCCCTTTCTTGGCTCTTGGATTCAGCTTGCCTTCGTCTGAATGAACGTAGGCAATGCACCCGAACCTTTTTAAACCTGTAAGCTTCGGAACTGCAGATGTCCACCTTTCTTCAGGTATTTCAAAGTTAATAGCTGATGAAGGTGACCTGTTGATTAAGTAAACTGAGGTAGATGCTGCCTTAGCCCAAAATCGTTGACCTAAACCGCTTTCACTTAGCATACTCCTCACTTTGTTCATAACCGTTCTGTTTAACCTTTCAGCGATTCCATTCTGTTGAGGCGTGTAAGTGCACGTCCTGTGCCTCACAATTCCTTCCTCTTTGCATACCTGATCAAACCTGACATTGCAAAACTCAAGGCCGTTATCTGTACGCAGCTTCTTTAACTTCCTTTCAGACTGAACTTCCACCATCTTCTTCCATTCGGTAAACTTATCAAATGCTTCATCTTTAGTTCTAAGAAAGTATATCCAAACCTTCCTCGACCAGTCATCTGTGAAAGACACGAAATACTGACACTTACCAAGACTTGGGGGAACGTTTGGTGATCCCCATAAGTCTGAGTGCACGTAATCAAGCTTTCCTTTTGTGACATGTTGAGCTGGTCCAAAGCTGACCTTATGTGTCTTGCCAATAACACAGTCTTCGCAAAACTTGATTTCCGAGACCTTGTCGCTGCCAAAACAACCCTTCTTCGCCAACACATCCAACCCTTTCTGACCCACGTGACCCATCCTGCTGTGCCATAACCGAGTTTGATCCTCTGATATAGCTTCCTGACTTGAGCCACATTCCTTTACTGCTGTACAGGATTCAGACTTCTTTGCCGAGCCCATAAGAATGTAGAGAGTATCATTGTCCTTCCTGACTCCCTTCATAAGAACCGAGCAACCTTTGATGACTTTCAACACTCCCTTAGATCCTTTGAACTCACATCCCTTATTTTCCAAAGTCCCAATCGATATTAAGTTCCTGCCTATGTCCGGCATGTATCTTACTTCGCGTAACACAAAGGTAGTTCCATCAGGATTAGAGAATCTTATTGAACCAATACCTCTGACCTCCGAGTGAGAATTATTTGCCATTCGTACTCTTCCTGAAGACACCTCCTTAAGTTCTATAAAGAATTCTCTTCTTGGTGTCATATGAAACGAGCACCCTGTATCCATCACCCATTCATCTCTATCACTGGAATCCTGTGATAGATTAACTTCACAAGCGATTAGCCCAGCTAAGTCCTGAGCATCATCCTTAGCTAGACCTAATTCACCTGAACTCTGTGGCTGTAGCTTCCCTTTATTCTTCTCCAGCCATTTATAGCATTGCTTCTTGAAGTGACCTTCTTTACCACAAATCCAACAGATCTTCTTGCCATCCCTTGACTTAGATCTAGACTTGCTATACTTCCCTGCTTTATTCTGATGATCACCCCTAGTTACGGATCTTCCTCTAGCAAAGTGTCCCTCAGAACTTGACTTAGAGCTAGAGTTATCTTTAATATCCTTCTCTTTAGATCTAGCTGCGCTCACTACGTCTTCTACCTCAATTGCTTCTCTACTGTACTTAAGCGTTTCCTTTAACTGATCGTATTTACTAGGCAAAGCATTGAGAAGTAAGACTGCTTGTACCTCTTCCGATACGTCTATGCTTAAGTGACTCAGATCTCCGATGATTTTGAGAAACTCATCTATGTTCTCATCGATTGACCGATGATCTTGCATCTTGAAGCCGTAGAGCCTGAGTTGAGCGTGGACTCGATTTGGAAGCGACTTAGGCTGATAGAGTTTCTCAAGAAGTTCCCAGGTTTCTGCCGCAGTCTTGCAGTTCTCGATCTTCCTTAAAACTCGATCTCCTACACACATCCAGATCATGTGCATCGCCTTTTCGCTCCGATCCTGTCGAGCCTCCTCGTCCGCGAGAATCTTTTTCTTCTTCTCCGGATCTGAATCTTCCCCTATCGCAGTCGATGTTGACTCGTCGGTAGGGGATTTTTGTTCAATTACGTCTTTGTAGCCTGATACGCTCAGATGAGCGTACATCCTTCGCTTCCATAGCGAGAAGTCTCCGGTTCCGTCGAATATCGGAATCTCCAATCTTCCTCCCGTCATCTTCGAACCGAACGAGTAGCTTGTTGCCTTCATGAAGCAAATCCGCACCAAACCTGGCGCTCTGATACCAATTTGTTAAACTTGAAACTAGATTCACTCTCCTCTCCACTCGTTTGATTGAAAGAATGGAAGAACTTAGATCTAATCTCGAGATTTCAAACTAGAAAGAGACGACACCGGAGTTTTACGAGTTCGGGGCAAACGCCACCTACGTCTCGCCGGAATACTTTCCGGAATCCACTAGAACAGCTCAATACGAGCTCTTGATCAATCCAATACAAGATCACCTCTCTATCTCTCTCAACGTCTGCAACAAACCTTATCTTGGTGAGCTGAACAGACTTAACAACTTATTCACCGAGAGAGATAATACGGACTCTAAAGTCGTCTTACTACGTTTACCATATACACACGTGTCATCTACTAACATGTGTACACTTGGTTAACCTAAACCGGCACTAAACCATCTGAGATTAAGAACACAACCTTCATTTTTTCTCTTAGACAATGTTTGCTTAGATTTTATTTAAGATTTTTCATTCAGGATTTGGATTTGGATTGTGAAATTTTGGGTTGAAATGGAATAAAGAAGTTATCATTTAGTTACTTGTGTTGTAAAAAATGTTATCCAACACGTTGTTTTTATAAGGATAAAGAAGCGGGGTTGAAGGTGGATATGCCGATTTGTCTGATCTTTTTGGAAAAGCGGGATCGGGTGTCTACAGTAAAGATGTGAGCGTGGCCAAATATAAAAAAGTGTTTTCTCCTTTGTATTTTGAGACCTTTTGTTTATTGTGGCGTGTCTTGATTCAAAGACTCTTGCGCATCAAGCGAATGACTCTTGCGCATCAAGCGAATGACTCTTGCGCACCAAACCTCTCGGAAATGAGACTTGATATAAATAGCTCCGGGTAAGACCATTTAAATGTGATGGAGGATTCAGTTGGTTCGGTTCTGGTCCGGGTCAGATCATGGGCCATCATTTTGTTTTGATGGGTCAAAAATTTATGTTGGGTTGGGGCTAGACTATAAAACATTGGGTAATTGAGCTTAAAATTTACAAATTCTGGTCCAAATGTGTTATCGGATGAAAATTGGCTCGATAAGGTTCATGATTGAGCCGAAAATGTGATTTCTCAACCGTCTTCAGTTCTGGTCCGCACCAAATAAATTGTGGCTCGATTAGAGACTTCTTCATGGTGGATTGGTCGATGAATATGTGACCATTGACTTCTGCTCCTGATTGTGGGTTTAGGGTTCTTCTTCCATTAGACGATTTTAAATGCTCATTCGATGGACTAAAGCTTGTGCTCTTCCTCGGAACTGAGTTTTTGTTAAAGCTTTGTATGCTCTCTTTACTTCTGTTCAAAATTACTCTGTTTTTATAGTTTTGATTTTCCATACTTAACAAATATTTTTTGTTTCTTTGTTGATCAACAATTTTACATGTTTTTTTTTAAATATTAATATTTCTTTTTGCGAATAATGATTTTATTTAATGTATGTTTAATTAATTGTGAATATATGGCAAATTGAGTCTTTTCAATTTGACTGAAGATTATGGTAACTTTATAAACATTTTTTTCATTTGGTCAAAGTACCAATTCAACGATACTCATAACTTCAATATATTTCCGTATAACTGTTAATATATACACATAACTTTTAAACTTTATATAGCATACAATCTTGGGTTTGTAGAAAGAAATTTGACATTTATTAAAGACTAAAACAAAATTAAAGGACAAAATATAAAAAGACAAACAAAACAAAGAGAAATAAGAACCAGCAGATGAATCTAGGAGAAAAATAGAGATAGGCGTGCCCTCCACGCCCTAAAGTTTTTTGTTTTTTCTATTTTGAAATCTTTTTCTCTTTTCTTGAAAACTTTCTTCTCATTGTTCGTTTTCGTTTTCTGACAATCGTACGTATGATTCAAAATAATCCAAAAGATTAGGCTTCATTAATCTCTCCTCATCCAAAGTTAAATTAATCTCCCTTTTTTTCCCCGGAAGATCAATCTCGCATTTCGTTGCATTTTCATGAAGGTAACGACGTTTAAACTCTCCATCATCCAAAATCACGCTTTCTCCATTTGTTACAAGAAGTCAATTGTGTTTTGTCCATAAAATCAATGGAAGAAAAGTCTTTGCTATGGTAACTTTGGGGTAAAACCGTAAAAGGCGAATAAGCTAAACGTATATAGGTGGAATTTGGAAGAATTTGTTGTCTTTTTATTTTCTGATAAACACAAATCATCTTATTTGAATCCAATTATCTGATCATATTATGTCATATCTATGAATCTTGAATTCATCTTGCATGCAGTTGCGTGACAATATGGTGGATGATGATACTGTTTCCAATGATCTTTCTTTACTTCCTGATCTCAATAACGATTCCTCTACACCTATCAATAGTATCGAATTCGATTCATCCATTATTGATCTCATAAACTTGGAAGATGGAGGTGATACACCAAATCTCGTACCAGAACATAATCCGTTTCTTGAATCTATGGTTGGACCTAAACAAGAAGAAGAAGAAGATTCACATGTTGTTGTTGAAACAGAGTCTCCAAAGGTGTATATTGCACCAAGAGTCATGATAAACCATCAAGACTCGTTTTCACTAGACTCTCGAATTGATTGCATCGAAGATGCAAGGATTAGTTTGCCTGATTCACCAAGAGGAATCCAAGAACTTGGTCTCTCACATCTTAGAGTTCCTGGCTCACCAAGAGCTTTTGTGCTTCCAAGAACAACTGGATCACCACGTTTCGGGTCTCCTACGAGTCCGGTTTTGATCGATACCGCTGCACCATTCGAATCGGTCAAAGAAGCAGTTTCCAAGTTTGGTGGGATCACAGATTGGAAAGCTCATAAAATCCAGACAATAGAGGTAAATAAAACACCTTTAGATTCATTATTTTCTGCAGTTTCTTGTAAATGATAGAACTCGATCCCTGGTCTTGACCAATATGGCAGTGTCTTAACAAACCAGTAGGCCACACGTTCTTGGTTTGTTAGTTTTATCATTTCTCCCTGTTCGATTTTCAATATGTGATTCTTATAGTTTTTGATTCTATGATTGTCTACAGAGACGCAAGACGGTGGATCAAGAACTTGAGAAAATACAAGAGGACATGCCTGAGTACAAGAAACAAGCCGTTGTAGCAGAAGAGGCCAAGCAGAAGGTGGTGATGGAGCTTGAGAGAACAAGGAGCGTGGTCGAAGAGCTTAAACTCGAGCTAGAAAAGGCTAAGAAAGAAGAGCAACAAGCGAAACAAGACTCTGATCTTGCAAAGCTGCGTGTGGAGGAAATGGAGCAAGGGATAGCCGATGAGGCGAGTGTGGCGGCCAAAACGCAGCTCGAGGTGGCTAAAGCGAGGCATTTTTCAGCTGTTTCTGAGCTAGGGAACATAAGAGAAGAGATAGAGATAGTCTCTCATGAGTATGAGTCTCTGTTGAAGGAAAAAGATTCGGCTGTGAAAAAAGCAGGGGACTCTGTTCTGGAAGCTAAATATGTAGAGAAACAGATGGAAGGTTTAACAATAGAGGTGATTGCAACCAAGGAGTTATTGGAGTCAGCACACACAGCTCATCTCGAAGCTGAAGAGAAGAAACTCAATGCAGTTATGGCTCGAGACCAGGATGTTTATAACAGGGAGAAGGAACTGAAAATGGTGGAAGATGAGATCGAGAGGCTAAGACAAGAAATCCAAGCGGCAGATGATGTGAAAATCAAAATAGAGACTGCTTCTGCACTTCAGAAAGATTTGAGAGCGGAAATTTCGGCTTATAAAGACGAGAACGATGATATGGGAAAGAGAAACAATAGTGACATAGAAGCAGCGGTTGATTCCGCGAGGAAGGAGCTTGAAGAAGTTAAATCCAACATTGAGAAAGCGATTTCTGAGGTGAAAACGTTGAAGATAATCGTTGGATCATTGCAGTCTGAAATGGAAAGAGAGAAGAAAGATCTCTCAGAAACGAAACAGAGAGAAGCTGTTTCGATTCAGAGTAATAGTGAAGAAGCAAAGGAGGAGAGGTGCGCAGAGATAGCCAAGAAGTTGCAAGAAGCTGGCAAGGAAGCAGAGGAGGCAAAGTCACTTGCCTTAGCTGCTCGGGAGGAGCTGAGAAAGGCCAAGGAAGAGTCAGATCAAGCAAAAACAGGAGTCTCTGCAATAGAAAGTAAGCTAGTTGAGGCGAAAAAGGAAATGGAAGCTGCAAAAGCTTCTGAAAAGTTGGCCTTAGCTGCAATAAAAGCGTTGCAAGAGACACAACGTGCTAACAAGATTGAGGATATTAGTAGTTCACCAAGAAGCATAATAATTTCTGTGGAGGAATATTATGAGCTAAGCAAGCAGGCACATGAGGTAGAGGAGGCAGCCAACAGAAAACTAGCAGAGATCGTATCTCAGATTGAAGTGGCAAAGGAAGAGGAATCAAGAATCTTGGAAAACCTAGAGCAAGTGAATAGAGAAACAGCTATTAGAAAAGAAGAGCTAAAAGAAGCTATGGGGAAAGTTGAAAAGGCTAGAGAAGGAAAGGTTGGTATGGATCCGGAGTTGCGAAAATGGAGCTCAGAAAATGGGACTAAGAGCCCGGAGACGAGGAAAAAGGAGAAACATGACTTAAGCAAGTCAAAATCGGCTTTACATTCAGCAAGATCATTTGCATTTGGTGAACAAGGAAGCAGCAGCAATGTTGGAGATAGTAGTAATGTGACACCTGAAACAAAGAAGAAAAAGAAACGGTTTTCTTTGCTGCCAAAAGTCTTCATGTTCTTGTCAAGAAGGAAATCAAACAAGTAAAACCGACCCCAATTCGTTACAGGTAGGTTTTATTATCCTCTTTTTTTGACATATTCGATTTGTATTTCATTATGGAGATGCAAAACAGAGTATCTGAACTGAACTTTATAAGGTTGTTGGTTAGATTTGTTGTACTCTTATATAAAATAAAAGGTATTGGTACTTGCTGAATCGAATTTCAATGAAAATGTATCTAAGAAGCAGAGCTAAAGAGGGTTTGAATGATGGTCTTATGCCATGGATTAGAAAGATGCTCAACAAGGTTATCAATAGGACCAGTGTGAGTCACAGAGGCTTGAACGAAGAATCCTAGCATCGCCATCATCGCTAGACGACCTGTTAAAATACTAATCAATGTTAAACAGAGTTTACGTGTATATGAAGCAAACCAACTCGGTTAGAGGAATTCCTGAGTCTATTACCATTCTTGATCTCCTTAAGCTTCCATTGATCAGCATTTCTAATGTCCTTAGCTAGACCTAGTGGATTCAAGAGCGGTCCTCCGGGATATCTAAAGCCAAATTCAACTAAATTTCTCATTCTACACTCAGAGTAAAAACAAATCTGGATCATAGAAGAAACATTACCCTGGCTCAAGCCCTTCGAGTGCTGCTTCAAGTCCAAAGAAAGATCCTTCTATGGCTTGAGATCCCGGAGAGACAAAATCCATATATCTTTTGGTCTCAGCAAACCTGTACAACCAAACCAGAATCATATTCTAAGCTTTTGTTGGTTTCAAACAATGGAGATTAGAGACAGAGTTTTATTCATTACCCCATAAGTAAAAACTGTACAAATATGAGAGTTTTTGTGCTGGCAAAATCAAATTTCACTGCTCCAGCTTCATACCAAACCGGTAAATTGCTAATCCCTGTGGTACGAAGTAGCTATATGTACAACCAAAACAAAGCACGTTGATTAAGCTCTTTCTCAAATTTGAGGAATATGATGAAAGATTTGAGTTTATTACATCGGTGAAGAGTATTCCGGCAACACCAAGCATGGCGAAACGAGAGTGAACAAGCTCTGCTTGAACATACCATTTCAAGCTTTTCGGATCCTCTCCTAACCCGAGCGGGTCAAACCCGTAATCTCCAGGTAACCTTTTTGTTTTCAAGAAACGAAAGATTTTGTGGAGCCAAGAAGCTTTTGTGTGTAAAGAAGACAAAAAAAAAACAGAACTTACTTTCCGTCGAGGTATGGAGGAGGTTCAAGGCCAGGAAGCCACGTGGCACGTTGTTCCACGGCAACGTTTCGTCCTGTTGTGGCTCCAATGCATGAGATTCGTCGTCTTGTGATGACGGCTGAGGAGTCGCGGCGGCAGCTGAGGAGAAATCCTCCGGCGAGACCTCCTCGTAAAACGATGGACATTTTTTCTCTGTTTTTCGCTAACGTTGTTTCGGCTCTCAACACTGTTATCTGTAACCGAGAGTGAAGCTAAAATACGTTGTCCACATAAAAATCTAATTTAATTAATCCGTAGGGAAAAAAAAAACAAATTTCAGGAAGAATGTGAGTCGTTGGATTAAAGATCGGTTTGGATCTGCATCGTCCGTTTTTTGTGTTTCTGTTTTTGCATGTAGCACAAAGTGGTTCAGAGAGAATATATCTCACTTTCACTTGAGTTTAATCAAACAGTTGGAATTCATACCGATTTATAACGATTTATTATTTATAAATTCAATTTTCAAGATTTTAAGTAAATATTAAACTAAATTTAGGTAATCAAATTTAAAGTATACCTACAACAGAAAAATAAATAGAAAACAAGGTTGTGTAGCATTCCAAACGTCGTGCCTTTACCAGTATTTACACGCACACAAACTAAATAAAAAAAAAGGATTCTAGTGCCGTAGAGATAAGATCCCAATACTTGACAAACTATTTGTCTCTGTATTATGTTTAGGGTTTGAGAAATTGTGTTGATTAAACATCTCATTATATCCTTATATAATGAAACCAATGTTTAATGGGCCAAAGGCCAAACTTGTATAACAAAGTCGGTAACGTAACTTATGTTTAATTGTCCACGTGCATGTATATAATATATGTCATACATATATTATTCCTTGTATATTAAATATAGGGATGTCATATCTTTATATAACATGTATTATTTTAAACCTAACATATTATTAATTTAGTTTGCTTAGATGTGTGACCGTGTAGGATCATATAATATTAGCAACAGATTCATAATCCGTAGATTATAAGCGGTTTCTAGCAAAACATTATAACCATCTAATATTATACGATTGTCAAATCTTGACGTTACAATTTCAACTAGAGAAGTACGGATGATTTTAGGACATTCCCAACAAACTCTCACTTGTACTGGAATCATCTATTCCTATAATCCATTTGTCTCTATATCTCAATCTAAGCATAAGGCAAGAAACTATGTCATCTTTATTAAGCTAGATCATGTTTATCGAACTACAATTTATACTGATCAAACAAACGACTGACATTCACTTCGTTTGAGCACGGCCATGCATTTTTCAGTATCAAATATTCGATAGGCCTAGAGATATTTTTCTCCCGTTATATGGGAAGGACAAATTCCATCTTGTTCCATCCCTGTTCCTTACACAATTCATAATGCGCCCAATCACTGTCTTTATAATCACCTTTTACGGCTGACATTTGACAGAGTCAAAGCGAACCAGTCCATGTATAAGAAATCATGATGAACTCATGTCAAAAGACTACACTCTGTAGTCGTGATGAGAAACTCTTATGACACTCATATAACAATCTTATAGATTTCTCATAGCGGGCCGGGTCAGTCCAATACTGTGTTCTCTAACACATATCTATGTGATTTACTTTAATACAACATATTAATGACTTTACGAAACTTAGTCATCAGTCACCTCACATAACTAGTCCTTCTTAGTTATTAACGTCCCATTTTAATAACCTTGACTAGAGACCTCAATAATTTAAGTAATCTTCCACTTATAGAGTTTCATGATCAAATCACGTACTTGATGATCTATAAGAATGACAATAAATTATTTTGGGACTATTATTCAATTATTCAATTATTCAATAATAAAATAACACTGCAACTAATTTCATTAATTTGAAAATAAATCAAATGTATGTAAACATGAACATCATATCATAAAAAGAAAATCTCCCACTAAAAATAAGATTACATCTTTATGAATCTAATGCCTATAGCAGCTGTATGGCTCTCATGCTTAGGCCGGAGAAGAGGCTTCATTAAAGGATCAGCAACATTTGCATCCGTTGAGACTGATAACACCGGATTTTGACCATTTTTATGGATCGTTTTAATACCTTATGCAGATGTTTTAACTCTGTTTTAAATGGTTTTTAAGTGATTTCTATGTTTTAGAGTTTTAAAAGACTTTTCAGGAAACTTGGACTAAAGATGTGCAATTTGGAACAAATGAGCAATTTTGGATAAATGCAGACTGTTAGAAGTATGGTACTCGATGGAGACCTTCTCACCGTCTGAACATCCCCAAAATTTGAGACAACATAGAGGAGACAACCAGCTTTCTAATGCAATTGGTTTGGAGACAATCCAACGGTTAGATCTTCAGATATTTCCGATGCACTAAAGACAGAAAATGCAGTCTCGAAGGAGAGCATAGGCCGCGACCACGGCCAGACCATGATTCCCCGCGGTCAGGAACACCGCGACCGCGGCCAGACAACGTTGACGTCCGAAAGTGACCTAATTCAAGCCCAAGTTCAGCCCACTACTTATTCTTCAAACCCTAGACGTTTCCAACGAATTAGAAGACTATATATACTCGTTTTAGGTCATTCTAATGACCAAGTCGTGAAGAGAGAGCAGAGACGAGCCGCATACCTCGGAGTTGCCGTCTTCGGGAGAAGAAGGAGTCGCCGAAGGAGCCACCATCGATATCTGCCTTCATCCTCGTTCTTCATTCTTTACCTTTCTCTTATTTAATTTCCAGCAAACTACAATACTTCTATGATGTTCTTATACACTATGATTGAGTAATTCCCTTGTTGGGTTTTAAGGGATTTTTCAAAGGGATTCATGGATTGATTTCTGGTTTGTTAGATTAGGGTTTATCCTTAGAGTTCTTCGTCTAAATTTGCGTTTCGTTTATGTGGCTTGGATCGATCATCTAGCTACTGCGATTAGGTTGATTTACTCACCGAAAGTGTTGTTGAATCGATTAACCCTATTTAGATAAACAAATTCTCTTAGACGGTGTGAGTCGATCTAAAACGTTTTGTGAAATTATCAAACTAATTTGTCTAGACACTTAGAGAACTAAATGGGAGTTTAGTAAATCTGAGTGAATTGATTTGTGATTAATACTACGTGAGTAGGTTACTCTGGGTTTGATTTCAGGAACACATCTATAGAAAATTCTATGTTTGATTCTCTTGTTAGCTAGTCTATGATTCCCGGCGAATTCCCTAACGCCCAACACCTTCTCGTATTGATTTGATCTTATTGTTTACTTGTTTTTAAGTTTATTATTTGCTATTTTCGTCACTGTTCACAATCACCAATCAAACACCCATATTTTCATCTTAGCTCAGTTTTCATCTCAAGTAAACTCGTATTGCAGTTACTTGGTCTTCAGTGGATCGACCTCTAAGTACTACAACGTACATCTGTACGCTTGCAGAAAACTAGGGTTAAAACCTGAGCACATCAAGTTTTTGGCGCCGATGCCGGGGATCTTTAACGTTGCCTACGAGTTTCAGGTCAGAATCGAGTGTAAGGTACGTTCTCTTGTTCATTTTTGAAAAAAAAAAATATATTTATTATTTTATATAATATATATATATATATATACATATATAGAAATTAATATAAAAAACGGAAAAATATAAATTTATATATATAACTAAAAAAAATTATTATTATATAAAAAATATATATATATATCTATATATTAACATTAAAAAAAAATTTAAAAATATATATATAAAATCTAAAAAAAAAATAAAAAAAAATAAAAAAACAAAAAAAACAAAAAAACAAAAAAACGAAAA